GTGGGAAGTTAACGTCTCCTACCCCTAACCCTGCAGGAGACCCTGAGTGTTGGTCCGGCCAGGGCTCGAACCCTCGACCTCCCGCAGAACAGTCCAGCGGTCTATCCATTGAGCTAACCAGGAGGCGGTTAGGAGTGGTGGGCAAAGTTACTCCACACTCTTAATTTTCGCATTCGTTCACTTTTAAACTCTCAGTGAATCATAATTTCGAAAGAAAACCCTTGGCCTTCTGGATTGATGAGCTATTTGTTATTGTTTTTTCTAAGGATGAACTAACGAGTCGTGTTATGGAACACCTTCGTAAAAAAGACCGTGATTCTTTCCTGGCCGAGATTCACGAGCTTCGTAAGACTTCCACGAAACCTTTGATCGAGCGGGTGAGTTTGACACGACTACTCAGTAGTAACGTTTTAATAGGTTTATTTGTTATTAATAGCATCTAGAACTGCTTATGTTGAGGTGACTTAAATGATACAAACTAATGAAAACGAGACTTCGTTCTTAAAGCTTTTTTTTTTATTATTATTTTAGCAGGAAAACCTCGTGGAGAAGCTGCATGTCGAGTTAGAGGGAGCTAAAAAACGAGAGAGAGATGTCAGGGCACAGTGTAAGAAATATGTCATGTTTTCTTTCTTTGTGCTCAGTAACAACGAAGTACCGAGAGTTAGTGGTATGACTTCTGAAGTAAAAACTAAAGCTACGTAAATTACAAACGAAAACATGGACGTTTATTTGCTTTCTGCCACGCGTCCGTTTGTGCTGCAATGCGGAAATAGTTTCATTTAAGTAGAGGACATCTATTATTTTCTGTTGGAAATATTTGTGGTTCATAAGCAAAGTAAGTGAAATCAACGGAAACGTTTGCCGCTGATCGTTTTTACTAAAAGCGTGACTTGAAATCTGTCAGTCTTTCAACTTTCATAAAAACGTCGTTAACCAAATTTAACGGAGCGTTTGAAACTTTTTATTTCATTTCAGTGCTGCTTAAAAGACAGCAAGCGGATCATGTGAAAAATGATCTCACCAACTCGCTGACGAGGGAGAGGTCTTTAGTGTCAGACTTGAAGGAAGCTTTGGCGAAAGAAAAAAGTCGAATCACAGAACTAGGAACCGCCCTGGAGAAGGAACGAGTCCAGGTTATGTCCCTCAAGTGAGTAAATACATGCCAGAGCACTTTCCGATCAAGTTTCGTCGCAAAAACTACCGGAATCACATTGGCCAATCAGAACAGATGTTAACTTCGTAAGGAGCCAATGAGAACTTATGATGCGTACACGTGTTCGACTTCAAGGGCGGGAATACACGAATGACCAAGCCGCTCTATATTTATGTTTTGCATCTCATTGGTTAAGAAAGTGGCGCAACTTTTTAGGCCGGCGAATCACATACCGTAGTGAAGGAGCCGAAGAGGGGTGATAAGAGGCTTTCGACCGTCAATAAATATATCTTGTTAGACGTTT